AGACAGGCCGAACACTCAGGTACTGTCAGCAAACGCGGGGAAACCTGCGCTCTTTTCCCTGGCGCCGGCTGGGCGCGCCAGGGGCCGCGGCAAGCCCAGCTGCGCGGCTGCCGCGACCAGCGGTGGGCCCGGCTGTGTGGCCGCTGCAGAAAAAGAAGGATAGTCGCATTATTATCACTATCGTGCGTTTTTTCCCGGAAAGGGCATGAGCCCAGGGTTCTCTTTTAGTTGGTAAACCTAATCCCCCGGTGCCTGCTTGAGGGAGGCCGGCGAATTTTTTCCCTGATAAATAACGAGGTCGAAGGAGGCCGGCGAATTAAAATTTGAGGATGTCTCGAGCGAAACGCTTGTTTTTGAAATCCCGATCGATAAATCACAGGGTGCGGGCCACTTTTTTCGTGTTGTTGAGATGTCTCGAGCGAAACGCTTGCCTCCGCAGAGTGTGCCGAGGAGGTCTCGAGCGAAAACGTTGTTTACACGAAGATGTTCGACGCGGAGAAAAGGCCCCCGATCTCCCCCCCCCCCCCCCCGAAGGAATTTCGATGATGTCTCGACTAATTCCTTTGTTTTTGTACGATTTCCTGGAATTTTGGCAGGATGTCTCGAGCGAAATGCACGACCCCACCCTAGCACGACCATACCCCAGCACGACCACACCCCAGCACGACCAGACACCAGCACGACCCCACCCCAGCACGACCCCACCCCAGCACGACCATACCCCAGCACGACCACACCCCAGCACGACCCGACCCCAGCACGACCCTACCCCAGCAAGACCACACCCCAGCACGACAACACCCCAGCACGACCTCACCACAGCACGACCACACCCCAGCACGACCACGCCCCAGCACGACCACGCCCCAGCACGACCACGCCCCAGCACGACCACCTCCCAGCACGACCCCACCCCAGCACGACCCCACCCCAGCACGACCACGCCCCAGCACGACCACACCCCAGCACGACCACACCCCAGCACGACCACACCCCAGCACGACCCCACCCCAGCACGACCCCACCCTAGCACGACCACACCCCAGCACGACCACACCCCAGCACGACCCCAC